GCGGGATCGACTGGTGGGGGCGGGGATCGCCTGCAGGGTCCTTCAGCTGCGGTAGGCTCTGAGGGGGCGGGGCTGGCCGGGAGAGCCCTGCCCTCCGCTCCCGGGACGGCGGTCCTAGTCCCGCCGCTCGGTGCCCGCGGCTGTGCTCAGGTCGCACCTGCCGCGGGAGACGCTCCCCAAGGCCTGCGGGCTGGACGTAACCCGGTCCTGCTCGCCTGGCGGGAAGCAGAGAGACCAGCACGATGAGAGGCTCGCACACGTTGACCGAGCGCGCGTTTCACAGGACCGGAGCCCCTGGGGACCCTCAGGCGGCCGTCACGTTGCGCATTGACTGGAGCCCCAAAGTTCACGTGGCCTGTGCGTGGGCACCGAGCTGTTTCCTGTTCTTGCCAGTGTCTGGAAACCCGTTCCCCAAATATTTTTCAGAATGCAGTTCAAATGCGAATTGTCAGGCCTTTTTCATACTGTTTTGGTTAAAGATAAAAAAAAAAAAAAACAAACAACCCAATTCTAGACATTCCGAACAATATTAGCTCCACTTTATTGGCTGCCGGCCAAGCACGACTTTAGGAATTTCCATCCATAGCTCACATCATTGTCCCCTCTGAGCGCCTGTCTCTGTTCCACCAGGGAGAAAAGTTAGGCTCTGAGAGGTTAGGACACTTGGCCCAGGGACACACAGCGGCAGCAGAGACCTAGAGAGTAGCCCGCTCATGGGACTCCACGTTTGTGTTCTGCACACCAGCGCCACCTGTTGGTCCTCACGGCCTCTCCTCACCGCAGCTGTCCTTTCTGCGGGGCAGGTGACCGGCCCTCGCACCCGGCCCGGGGGCCCCCCAACCCCTCTAACCGCCCTCCCACCCCCGCGAAGCAGCTCCCGGGACGCGGGGCACAAGCATTGCTCCCGCTCACGGAGGACAGAACTGCATCCGTCCAACTGTCCTGGCAGCTGGCGGACTGGCCCTGAGTGAGTGTGGGGGATGGGAAATCGGGTGGGTAAGCCACCAAACGCAGTGGTTTGCCATCACATTCCTGGCTACCTGTCAGTGGCCACCTGGTGCCCGGCGTGGTGAGGCCCTGACGCAACGTGGCACAAAGCCGGCAGCCCCGCCCTCCCCTTTCTCCGCGGGAACCGTAGAAAACCGCAGGCAAAAGAAGCGCCATTACTCGCCGATGTCACAGAGAGCTGACTGGGGACTCCCTGCAGAGGCAGAGCTGGATGACACGACACGGAGCAGGGCAGCGGCGGGGGGGCTGCGTTTCTCTGGCCGCGTCCGGCTGCCGCGGGCCCAGCCGGTGGCTTCACTCGGCTGGTTGCTCAGACCCAGTTGTGTGCCGTCGCTCGCCCTGTCCTGCTTGTCATGAGGGTGCATCTTGCGACTTTCTAAAGTGGAAAGGCCTTCAGTTTCGTGTGTGAAGACCCGGGAGAAGTTCCCCAGGGGCCGGAGGGAGGGCGGGGGCCTCCTGCACGGGGCACTCTGCTAAGGCCTGTCGGAACCTGCGGAAGCATCTGGATTGTCCTGCTCCTGAGCGCACCTTCATGGACCGGAGGAGTTTTCATTTTAGCAGGTGGCCCGCCTGCCTCACGACTAGCCCCGGGCACTCATGGGCCCAGCGAGGCGTCCAGACAGACGGCTTCCTCATGTGTCAGGGGCTCAGATGAGCGTTTGGGATCGTATGGGCTGCCCGTGCTGTGTTACAAATAACCCACCATTTACCGACTAAAACCCACAAGCATTTATCGTCTGGATTCTGAGGGACGGGCATGCGGCTGCGGTTTGGCTGGACACTCTGATTCACGTTCACAGCCCAGCTCTCAGCCGGGAAGCAGCCCGAGTGGGGGAATCTGCTGGCCGGGGGGGGGGGGGGCCTCTGTTCCTCCCCTCCTGCTCCTCCCCTCCTGCCACCCCTTAGGGCTGCCCGAGGGTCCTCACGTGTGGCACCGAGTTCCCCAGACTGTGATGAGATGGGGAGGGGGGAGGGGGGGTCACTGTCAGGCGGTGGACGAGTTCACGGAGCGCAGTGGCTGAATGTTTGAAGGAATGTTTGTGACGTCTGTGCTCAAGTGCCGACAGCTGTGGTGCATCGTGACGTTGGTGGAGCCGGTGCTGTGCTGTGAGGCTTATTCCCCGCCGTCCGCTCCTCCCCGGGGCCCCCGGACGGCCTGCTGCTGGCTCCTGAAGGAGGACAATCAGTGCCGCCTCCTTCCGTCCCCCGCATCACGGGGAGGTCACCCCCGCCTCTTCCCAGCCGCCGCGCGCCCCGTCTCTACCCACTCTGCCTGACACAGAAGAAAGAAAGACTCCCCCTGTCCGCAGACGGCCTGACATCAGGTGGCAAGATGCTGGGTCCATCTGTGGAAGATCACCCCCCCTGCCAAACCCACTGAGGACACCACGGCCAGGATGGAGCGTGTGGTTTTGTGACCCGGCCAGAAGCTTCTCCCAGTGCAAGCATCCTCAGGCCCGTCTAGGAGCCCTGCCCCCTCCCTTCCCACGGTGGCCCCAGATGTAAGGGTCCGCGGCCAGAGAAGCTCGCTGCTCCTCACGGAAGGTGTTGCAAGAAGGAATCCTGCCCGTCGCGGTCCAGCTCTGTTTTCAGGGATGTTAGGTTGACCCTCTGAAATTAGCGGCAATAGAAGTATTTACGGCACAGAAATCCGCAAACGCTACAGACGGGCGCTTGTAACGGTTTTCTCCCGGAGACGTGCTTTCCCAGCACACGGCCGAGACGGTCATCTACGTCCAGCTCAACGGGCTGTCTTCTTCGTCTGAGCGCAGGAATAGCTCATTCCACAAATCATTATTCTGACTTGTAGACAATAGTAAGATGCCTGTAAAAATGGTTATTTAGAAACTATACATTTCTTAACATAATCGGATGCATAAAACTCCAACAATCTGCTTGCATTCAAAAGCAGAATTTGGGGACACTGGTGCATTTTTAGTCAATGAGTTTGCTATATATATTTGGTTTTAAGGTGCCCCCTCCCCATAAGGAATACGGGCAGCGAAATCTACTTGACCCATGACAGTAGAGACCCCAAGCTCCCCTGGGGTCTCATGGATGGCAGTGATTTATATGTCACTGGCTCTGCCCACTGCCGTCTTAATTTGGGACATTCGCCTTCTGAGAACACCCTTCCAAGAGTGCCTGGGAGAGAGCCCAGCACAGACACCGGCACAGGGCTTCTGTGGGATCGGCAGGACAGAAGCCCCGCCCCGCTTGTGTGTGTGGCCTGTCCAGACATACGGGGCAGCGTGTCCCCTCTGGAGCCCTTCACGACCCTGGGTCCGGCCACATCGACCAGCAGAGCATGGGCTGCAGACCCTGGGCTGCCAGGGTGGCCCCGGATCCCCTGGAGGAGTCACCGGATGGATGCTCTGTGGGTTCCCGCTGAAGCGGGGAGAACACCCACCTCCCAAGCTCCTCACCTGCCTCTCTCCCGGGAAATGGGCCCATCAGCTCTGGCTTGAGCTCCTGTCACAGAGTTAGAGCCTTCCAGTCACTTTCTCTCCAGGCGCCTGGGCAGAAGGCCCCTCCTGTCCTCTTTCCCCCCGAAACAAACCAATCGGCACCACCCAAACCAAAAGCAAACCTATTATTCAAGTGCTTGGTGGTCACAATGGGTCACAGGTCACCCGTGCCCAGATAGGGCTAAACTCTGGCTTAGGACCCAGTGAGAGCCCCCTTTGGAGGGGAGCTCAGTGGTGCAGGGGCCTCATTCTGGAAGCTAGCCATTGTCCTTCACCTGGGCCGGTGCCCACACCTCTCTGTTCCTTTTCTCTCCTGGTCTGCGAAATGTAGCCAAGAACACAGCATCACAGGGCGTTGTAGATCGATGTGTGAATCGTGTCGGGATTGTACGTGGATCCGCATGACGTGCACAGAACCGTGCCTGGAACCAAGCAAGCTTTCGATAAATGTTCATCAAGGTCGTTGCCGCGGCCCTTGCTCTGTGCAGAGTGAACGGCTGTGATGTCGTCTGCCTTTGCCCAGCACGAGGGCTTTGTTGGCTGGAATAGCCAGCCCTTACAAAAACATTCTGCAGCACCCGTTAGAGGTTTGAGCTGTGCTCGCAGCGATGTGTGGGAGCCACGTCACGGACGGGTGTCTGCTTGGCCCCGGGGGAACAGGGAGGCCGGTGAGGGGTCAGGGTGCTCACCTGCGGCCTCTTAAGGTGGGATGGTGGGAGCCTCCTCTTGGCATTTGCACGTGCATTTCAGCGGCCAGAGGTTAGTCAAAGGAGGCTGGAAGTTGTGTTTCTTTCCTCTGCATGTCCACGGGCCCAGCTAAAACTTGGGGGCCCATTTCTAAGGAAGAGGGAGACAAGCACGAGGGTGCCTAGTAGAAAGTGTCTG